ATGGTGGGTAGGTTTCTGAGGTCATACTGTCAGGGCCGGCCGGAGGAGTGGGCGAGATATGTGCCCTGGGCCGAGATGGCACAGAACTCTCTTCGCCACTCCTCCACCCAACTAACCCCTTTTCAGTGTGTGTTAGGGTACCAGCCGGTTCTGGCACCATGGCATGAGAGCCAGATCGAGGCCCCCGCTGTGGATGAGTGGGTGCGGCGCTCGGAGGAGACGTGGGACGCTGCACACGTCCATCTGCAGCGTGCCATACGTCGACAGAAGACGAGCGCCGACCTACACCGCAGTGAGGGGCCAGTGTACGCACCTGGAGATCGAGTCTGGCTCTCAACCAGAAACCTGCCCCTCCGCCTGCCCTGCCGGAAGCTGGGTCGGCGGTTTGTGGGGCCATTTAAAGTCCTGAGGAGATTGAACGAGGTGAGTTATAGGTTAGAACTACCTGTTGATTACAAAAATATTAACCCCTCGTTCCATGTGTCTCTCCTCAGGCCGGTGGTAGCTGGTCCACTCCAGGACTTTGAGATTGAGGAGACTCCTCCGCCCCCGTTGGACATCGAGGGGGCTCCGGCGTACACCGTGAGGTCCATCCTGGATTCTAGACGCCGGATGGGGGGTCTTCAATATCTCGTGGAGTGGGAGGGGTACGGCCCGGAGGAGCGGTGCTGGGTGCCAAGGAGGGACGTATTAGACCAGTCCCTACTGACCGATTTCCATCGGGGTCATCCTGCGCGCCCTGCTCCGCGTCGTCCGGGTCGTCCCCGAGCTCCGGGTCGGCGCACGGCTGGAGCCGCGCGTCAAGGGGGGGGTACTGTCACGGTTTCGGCCGAGGCTGCTCCTCTTCCTTGTTCGGGCAGGCTTCGGCGGTCGTCGTCTCCGGAGTACTAGCTGCCACCGTTCTATGTTTCATGTTCATTTGGTTTTGTCTGTTCATAACACCTGTCCCTTATTTGTGTCTTAATTGTTCCCTTATTTAGTTTCGTGTGTTTGGGTCAGGTGTTATGCGTGATTGTTTATTGTCAGCCTGCCTCTGAGAAGTTTATTGTATCTCTCGTTGTTGTTACCCGAGAGCTCGCACTGCGTGCGCTTTTCTTGTTTAAAACGCACTGTGTTTTTGTGCGTAATTGTTTGCGCCACCCGGTTGGGTTGGCGACTCATTGTTCACGTGTTTTTGAACATTACTAAAGACGGTTGAAGTCATCCTGGTTCCTGCGCTTGATTCCTTCCACTCATCTACACACACCACTCTGACAGCATGTGTGTGCATTGGAGTGTGTGTTGGAGTGTGTTGGAGTCAGCCTTATCTTGGTGTGTTGAGTCTGAATCAGAGCAGGGCTTTCCTGGGTGCCGACAGGCCCTGTCTGGTTCTCTGGTGTTGGGGCTTCCTCTACAGGACCAGCAGGGAGGAAACTGCTTAATGTGTGTGTGTGCCCGTGTGTGAGTGAGTGTGAATGTGTATGTGTGTATTGGTGTGTCTGGAAAGGAGAGCACAGCTAATCGCTTATTTTGGCAGGGACAAGGAAATAGGCAGACTGGGAGAGGAAAGTGTAGGAAATGTTCTACACACACATGCGCACACATATACACACACACACACCTGCTCAGTTCTGCACTTCAATTCTAGTGAAACGTTTGCCAAATGTACTAAACTCCTGCTCCAATTCCACTGTTCTAGAATGTCATGAATGTACAGATTCGATGCTTCATAACTCAGTTAAACTGAGGGTGATTGAATTATTGGGTCTGGCTATGACCTGTCTGACTTTACAGTAACCTTTCTCCTTCCTCAACACTGCCACTGTATGTTAGACTCCTGTTGTAGGGCCACTGTGTGTGCAGGTTTTCATTGTGTGATTTTACTGCTTGCATGAGTTACTTGATGTGGAATAGAGTTCCATGTAGTCATGGCTCTATGTAGTACTGTGCACCTCCCATAGTCTGTTCTGGGTTTGGGGACTGTGAAGAGACCTCTGGTGGAATGTCTTGTGGGGTATGCATGGGTGTCTGAGCTGTGTGCTAGTAGTTTAAACAGACAGCTCGGTGCATTCAACATGTCAATACCTCTCACAAATACAAGTAGTGATGAAGTCAATCTCTCCTCTACTTTGAGCCAGGAGAGATTGACATGCTCATAATATAATGTCTGGAACGGAGCAAATGGAATGGCATCAAACAAATGGAAACTCTGTGTTTGATGTGTTTGATACCATTCCACTAATTCCGCTCCAGCCATTACCAAGAGCCTGTTCTCCCCAATTAAGGTGCCACCAACCTCCTGTGATGGACAGACCTCTCCGCATCTACTGTTGCATCAATATGTTTTGACCATGACAGTTTACAATCAAGGGTTACGCCAAGCAGTTTAGTCTCCTCAACATGCTAAATTTCCCATTATTCATTACAAGATTTAGTAGGGGTTTAGGGTTTAATGAATTATTTGTCCCAAATACAATGCTTTTAGTTTTTGAAATATTTACATTTGAGTCATTTAGCAGACGCTCTTATCCAGAGCGACTTACAGTTAGTGAGTGCATACATTTTCATACTGGCCCCCCGTGGGAAACGAACCCACAACCCTGGCGTTGCAAGCGCCATGCTCTACCAACTGAGCTACAGGGGACTAACTTATTTCTTGCCACCCGTTCTGAAACTGACTGAAGCTCTTTGTTAAGTGTTGCAGTGATTTCACTTGCTGTGGTAGCTGACGTGTATATTGTTGAGTCATCAGCATACATAGACACACTGGCTTTACTCAGAGCCAGTGGCAGGTCAGTAGTAAAGTTTGAAAAAGGTAAGGGGCCTAGACAGCTGCCCTGGGGAATGCCTGACTCCACCTGGATTATGTTGGAGAGGCTTCTATTAAAGAACACCCTCTGTGTTCTGTTAAACAGGTAACTCTTGATCCCCAATTCAGCAGGGGATGTAAAGCCATAACACATACATTGTTCAAGCAGCAGATTATGATCGATAATGTCAAAAGCTGCACTGAAGTCTAACAAAACAGCACCCACAGTCTTTTTATTATCAATTTCTTTCAGCCAATCATCAGTCATTTGTGTAAGTGCCGTATGAACATGCCCTTCCCTTTAAGCGTGCTGAAAATCTGTTGTAAATTTGTTTACTGTGAAATAGCATTGTTTCTGGTCAAACACCAATTTTTCCAAAAGTTTACTAAGGGTTGGTAGCAGGCTAATTGGTCGGCTGTTTTAGCCAGTAAAGGGTGCTTTGCTATTCTTGGTATAGCGGAATTACTTTTGCTTCCCTCCAGGCCTGAGGGCACACACTTTGCTGTAGGCTTAGATTGAAGAGATGTCAAATAGGAGTGGCAATATCGTCCTCTATCATCCTCAGTAATTTTCCATCCAAGTTGTCAGACCCAGGTGGCTTGTTATTGTTGATAGACAACAATTATTTTTTCACCTCTTCCACACACTTCATAATTTGGTCAATTATGCATGGAGGTGTAGTTTCAGAATTTCTTGTTAGCATGTCATGCGTAAGTTTGCTAATCTTGGCAATGAAAAAATCATTAAAGTAGTTGGCAATATCAGTGGGTTTTGTGACGAATGACACATCTGATTCAATGAATGATGGAGTCGAGTTTGCTTTTTTGCCCAAAATTGCATTTAAGGTGCTCCAAAGCTCTTTACTATCATTCTTTATATAATTTATCTTTGTTTCACAGTACAGTTTCTTCTTCTTCAGTTTCTCTTCCTCCTCCTCTGTCATGTAATTCAGTTGGTCTCTGTATAGAAAACATAGCTGTTGAAAAGTTTGATGAAACTTACATATAACCTTTAGTTATCATTAATATAAATGACTTTCAAGAGAGACTTTATGAAAAACATTTGGAAAATGATCTATTTTTTGAAAACCTATGTTTCCAGGGAACTTAATTGGCCAGCAAACATCTAATGACATGTTTTTTTATCCTACACAGCCTTTACTGGGGTTGTACCACAGTGACCTCATAACCACTAAAACCAGTACCACACACACTGTCACTCACATCAGGTCTGTTCTCAGAGCTGATAGTCATTATGCCCTCACATAACATATTGATGAGTCTGTGTGTGTGTGTGTGTGTGTGTGTGTGTGTGTGTGTGTGTGTATGTGTGTGTGTGTGTGTGTGTGTGTGTGTGTGCGTGCGTGTGTCTTTTCCTTGGGTTTCAACATCATGGGAGGATTGATGATGTTCTGTTCACCACATCCCCACAACAACAAACGGTCGCTACGGGTGACTCTCTCTGTCCACACACACAGACTCAAAAAGACACACACATACACACACATGCACACACACACACACACATACAGTCCACATCTCCTGAAAACTGTCCAAACCGAACCAAACTCCATCTGGTTTAACTCAGCTGTGCTTACAGTAAACTATCAACCTAAGTCAACCATTGTGGTTATTGAAACAGTTAGCGAATTCATCAGGATGTCTTTCTCATCCGAATTCACCCACCCACCCACGCATGCACGCACGCACTCACACACACTCACACACACACCATGTATACAGTGAGTCTTTACAGTTCAGCCTAGCCCCGTTTTCTATGCCTCCAAAAAAGCCTCTCCAACATTCCAACATCCTTATTCATTTGATGCAAATCTCTCATTTTGTGTGTTTTTCCCAGTGCCTTCAAATACACCACGGTCTTACAGAAATACTCCCCAGCCAACAGCGGCACACCAGCGGCTTTGTTCTCTGGTATTTTATGATAGATGATGGCAGCCATTTTAGGGTTATATATAAAAGACTACAAACCTCTGCAAAAGAGCAGATTGAGAAAGACTGCGGTAGGCCTAGAAGTTACAAAAATAAGTTACGAAAAATGGAGACCCATAAAACAGTAGATGTTTAGAACTTTGTGAGTGATGTTGATCCAAATGGACCATTTCTGGAATACTGACAGAAAAAGTACAGTACAGCACCTAAAGGTCAATCTGTAGGCTTGGTAAGTGGCTGCGTCATTGAGGCTCCACTGTGGTTACTGTCCAAAGGAACCTACATGCCCTCCCTCCCCTCCCTCCCACGTCCACAGTCTGGCGGTCCCATCCACAGAGCCAGAGAGGAAGAAGAGTCTCTCTACGTACACCAGCACCTCCACACTTGTGGGCCCTCCAGGACTGCATGAGAGGAGGGCGGCTGGAGGAGGGCTGGGGAGGTGAAACATAAAAGACAGGTAGACACACGTGAAGATAGAGTACAGCGTAAAACACATGAAACAGAGATGAATAAAGAGATTTATCCTAAACATATACAGTACTTTACTAAAAACAGAGATGATGATCTGGATAATATTGTATACTCCTGACCAGAGACAGACATACTGTACAGTACATACAGTATTCCCACACCCACACAAGGACAGAGGACATAAATACTAGTTGTAGTTGTGAAATTTAAGGTGAATAAAGTTGTTATTCAGTTTAGCGTAATTAACACAATGCTTAGCATACTTATTTTTGTCCCCTTTCTGTAATACAGTGTTCTATTTGGGATGCACTCAAATGAGTGCACTCATTTGTGAACTGGTTGATGGTCACTAGACATGATAACGAATGTTATGGATTCTCATATCTGTTGATAGTGATTGACGCCAGACTGGACTGGATATACAAGGACGAGGACACTTTATGTTATTGTATTCTGTCACACCGTGTGATTCTGTAGCAGCTGATGTTGTGACTTCCTGCAAGCCTCTAGGCAGGTGTTTACAGAACATTGGTGCTGTGAGATTACAATATAAGGGGCCTGCTTAGAGAAGGCAAGTTAGACTTTTTCTATGCTTCTATGCTGGAGGTTGTCTCCCTGTCGCAACTTGTAATTAAACCAAAATTATTTTGATTGATTAGATCAATGACTGCTCTCCTTTTGTTCACCTGGAAATTCCCACTACAGTAGCGATTGGATGGGGGGGATATTATTTTCACATATCGGGATATTGTTTTTGACAATATCGCAATATTAATTTTGTGCTAGTCGGCTGTACCTGCGCCAAAACTCAAGTATTTTTCCTTCTATAGCTTGTTCTCCATCTTCTTTTTAAATGGCAAGCAAACATGTTTTTAGCACTTTTATTTCCATGACTGATCAAAACTCGCTTTCTCATGGCTCTCTCGTCCCTGCAGCAGACTTGGTGAGCAATATGTTTGGAACATCGAATAGCAATACAATCGCAGTATCGAATCGCAATACATATAGAATCCTGAGAATCGCAATACATATTGTATCGGCACCTAAGTATCGTGATAATATTGTATCGTGAGGTCCCTGGAAATTCCCAGCTCTAATAAATAGGTTGATTGATATCTTGTATAATATAATTTGTCTTAACTCCCCATTCCTCCTCACCTCCACTTGGATGACACCGCACTAACACAACTGTCATCATAATCACTCTCAGATTTACTACAGCCCACCACTAAACCCATCTCTCTCTCTCTCTCTCTCTCTCTCTCTCTCTCTCTCTCTCTCTCTCTCTCTCCTTCCTTCCTTCCTTCCTTCCTTAGCTACTCCTTTTCCCCCCACATCCCTGTCCTCTGCCACCTCCTCTCCCTCCTTCCCTCTCTCACTGTGTGTGTGTCCTGGTTACCATGTGTGCAACCAGGTTACCGTGAGTGTGTGTGACCAGGTTACTGCCTATGAGGAGCACTGTCCTCGACACATACACACACAAATCACATACACAGACAGCAAATACATTATGAATACTTTATTTCAATTTGCGATAAAGCATTGAGATACAAAGGAAAACATGGTACATTGTTTCACACACACACACACACACACACACACACACACACACACACACACACACACACACACAGTAGACTCACAGTGAGTGTGTGTCCCTCTGCAGGCGAACCAGAGGTCTCTGTGTGTCCTGCGTCCAGATGATGACCTCTCCATCGTGGCTACCCGTAGCAACGACCCCCAGGGCAGGGCAGTGGTCAACCGCCAGGATGTCAGCTCTGTGTTGCTGACCCGACTCCCACAACATGTCTGCCCTCATATACACATGCTATATGACACACCACACACAGAAGGCCATATAATGACATGTCCGCCCTCACATACACATCCTACACCAACACACACAGGACGCCATATTGGAACTATATGTTCACCAAAATAACATACTAATTTGAACCTTGGTGCCAACATAGCATCCATTAAAATGTGAAAACAAACCAAGTTTGCCTCTGTATATGTATGACTTTATATCTACCCATCTGTGCAAAATTCTAGTTCCAAATTGTAGTGAGTGATACCAGTGGAGGCTACTGAGAACGGCTCATAATAATGGCCGGAACGGAGCAAATGGAATGGCATCAAACACCTGGAAACCATATGTTTGATGTAGTTGATATCATTCCACTGATTCCGCTCCAGTCATTACTACGAGCCCATTCTCCCCAATTAAGGAGCCACCAACCTCCTGTGAGTGATACTGTGAGTATAACAAGACCCAGAGGTCATACTTTGAGTCATTCACTGGTATAGTTTACATACACCACCTCTTAGCCAAGTTGTTATAGCATAAAAAGGATGTGCTCTCAAAACCACACCAGGTTACGCTGACGTCTTACAATACGAAACCTCAGAACCAATATGCTATATATATATATAAATATATATTAATTCATGAAAGCTCTCTTGTAAGGAAGGTATGTGTCTGGTAGCTCTGAGTGTAACCACATGGAGCAGACATGGTCTGGCGGTAGTGTAAGATAACACTGGGGTTGAGGTGTGGTGGACACTTTCACCAGAGAGTGCAGTATAGGTGTTTATACTGGCTGGAACACATGCACTTTTCATTGAAAAAGAAAATATGTGTGTGAGTGTACCTTAGCCCCTGTGATGTCATCCTGAGTAACCTGCTGGCTCCACCCCACAGCCAGGAGCTGATTGTCATGGAGACAGATGACCCCTGTGACCTCTGAGAAGGTGACATGCTCTAGCTTGTGTAGGTTGAGGCCGTTCAGTAGGTTCCACACCTTTTGACAGAGAGATACATCACATCACAGTAAACTACGATCTGTGTCCATCTAAAGTTGTTTTAACTGAATCATAATGGAGAAGGTCTTAACAGATACTTGGGGAATGTATCCTGCTTTTCTCCTTTTCTTAAAATAGTTATCAGACGTCAGTAACATGATTGGATAGGTGAAAGCACAGGCTCCACTGCATAGGCTACAGTAGCTTTTACCAATCCAGTCATGTCAGTTCAGTGATAACAAAGAAATATGGGAGAAAGATGAATTGATCAAATGCAAACAGGGTCCTTGAGAAGTCCTGGTTCCGTTGCATGCTCCAGCGATGAGTGTTGTGTGGGAGGAGTCTATCGCCATGCAGGTAATCTCTTCCTCTCCGTGAGCACTGGTGATCTTCAGATGCAGAGTCCCTGTTTCTACGTCCCACACTGATACAGACGAGTCATCACATCCGGTGATGACCTACACACACATATAAACATGCACAATACACACACACGGATGTAAACAGGCACGCACGCACGCACACACACACACACACACACACACACGGACGTAAGCACACACATACAGTATGCACACTCTCGTGTATGTTTAGATATGACAATGTATATGTGTATAAGATTCCATACACTCCTGTTTCAGTGTGGGGTTGTAGAGGTCACAGGAGAGAGGGGCACCATGGCATTGTCTCCCCTCTCCTCCTCCCTGTTGCTCCCCCCTTCCTCCAGCCTCAGCCTGGCCAGGTAGTCTCTACAACACACCAGGATGTGGGGCAGAGTCTGGGACAGGTAAGGCAGGGCCACCAACAGGAATGGGAAGTTGCCGTGCTCAGGGGCGCGCCCTGGCTGCAGACATGGAAACTGCAGGTGGACGGTCCTCAGACAGCAATGGGAGGAGATGTCCCACACACTCAGCTCTTACACAGGGACACAACCAGATGGGGATGAACAAACACCTTCTGAAAGAAATCAAAAAGTGGAAAGGAAAAAGCACCTGGACCACAGCCAGGACAGAATACCTTGTGGTGTAGTTGTGGTGGTCTTCAGTCTAGGGATAGGTTTGTCTCTCTCTACCTGTCTTAGATGAGGGCTTACAGTTTACCCCTGAAGATATGGCCAATGTTTTGTCTCTAGTAGTGCTGAGTCATTAACCGAAATGTCAGTTATTTTCCTACGTCGGTTCAATTATTTGAATCCATTTCGTTCTATTTTTTTCTGAGCTAAATGCTTACATTGCGCTGCAGTTTCTCTAGCGATAAATCTGATCATTCCCGAACTGTGCGATGTAGTAGGGAGTTGTAGTTTCCAACAGGCCACCGTTCTACATAGTTTAGCGCAGAAAACTTGATAATGAACTACAATGACGCGGTTCCACAGTCTGACCGTAGGGTCCAGACCACACATCACCAAAAGGTTAAGAGACCTGCTGAAGTCAAAGCAGGTCACACCCTGCAGAGGAGGGAGAGAGGGGGTGAAGAGCGAGAGTGGGAAAGAGGGTGGGGGAGGAGAGGGAGAGAGAGGGTGGGCGAAGGAGAGCGAGAACAGCGGAAGAGAGAGACAGACAGACAGACAGACAGACAGACAGACAGACAGACAGGCAGGCAGGCAGGCAGGCAGGCAGGCAGGCAGGCAGGCAGGCAGACAGACAGACAGACAGACAGACAGACAGACAGACAGACAGACAGACAGACAGACAGACAGACAGACAGACAGACAGACAGACAGACAGACAGACAGAGAAAGGGAGGTTAGGATTTATGGGTCACTTAATAAAATGTAGCATGACTAAATATTCTAAAAACACTTCCTGTCTTTCCTATTAGTTTATAATAGGGAACTGTTGAGGACAGCTTCATTGTTCAACTGACCAAAGCTAGACAGTTTATTGCAGCACAAAATGTGCCCTCTCAGAAGCCATAACGACCAATAGAAAACATCCCCTCCTACTTTAATCACTTCTTTACATGTTTTCTACCGCAGTAAAAGGTAATTCTATCCTCTGTGTGTGTGTGTGTGTGTGTGTGTGTGTGTGTGTGTGTGTGTGTGTGTGTGTGTGTGTGTGTGTGTGTGTGTGTGTGTGTGTGTGTCTGTGTGCGTGTGTGTTTTTACATTGGTTATAGGGTGGGAGTCAGCGACAGTGAGCAACATTTAATTTCCAGATAAAACACAGTTATGACTCAAAATAATTCAGACCAGTTGTGTTTCATCATTCTGCGGTGTGAAGGTTGACCTCTGATGTTATTCATTACTCTCCATGACTGTGTAGATAGCTACCATGAGAGAATCTGATTATGTCAGAGTTGATATTTCAACTTGACCTGGGTCAAGGTCACTCAGACCTTCACTGTCTATTAAAACTCAACCTTGAGTGCTGTCCAAATCTGATAAAGAATAAGGCTGTGTGGTACAATAACAGCTACCCACTGCTTTTTGTTTCATCCAATAGAAATGGTGGCACTTTATACATTTTACATTTTAGTCATTTAGCAGACGCTCTTATCCAGAGCGACTTACAGTTAGTGAGTGCATAAATTATTTTAATAAAATAAAATAAAAAATTCATACTGCCCCCCCGTGGGAATCGAACCCACAACCCTGGCATTGCAAACACCATGCTCTACCAACTGCGCTACATCCCGGCCGGCCATTCCCTCCCCTACCCTGGATGACGACGGGCCAATTGCGTGCCGCCTCATGGGTCTCCTGGTCGCGGCCGGCTACAACAGAACCTGGATTCGAACCAGGATCTCTAGTGGCACAGCTAGCACTGCGATGCAGTGCCTTAGACCACTGCGCCACTCGGGAGACAGTGTTACTCCAAAGTAACAACACAATAATACGCATAATAATGTAGACACTATGTAAAATGATGACCTTATTGATTTTCCACACTTAGGGTTTTCTCCTGAGTGAGACATGCATGATGACCACTGAGGAGGCATCGCTTCCAGATGATGTCATAATGAGGTCAGTGTGGGGCTCGTACGTGATCCTGTTGATTGGTTCCTGTTGGACTGCGGGGATTTGTTAGTAGGAGTCACCAATATCCTGTTAGGAGACATGTTCTCACCCATAATGCCAGTAAACCAATTTGTATCCGGTTACAAACCCTGGTCCTGGAGAACTATGGGGTGTAGCTCCCTTAGGGAAGAAGTCTGAAAAACACCCTACCCATTTGGTCCCAAGGATGGCATGCTAACCACAGTGCCAACACAAATAACTCCCTTGGAAGTGTTTGTAATGCAGCAAGCAATTCTTCGGTCATTACAATGGTGTGCAGGGTTTTGTTCTAGCCCAGCACAAAGTAAATGGAGATAATGAGGCCTACCTGCATGTATATTCTCTTCAGGCCATTGTCCTCACTGAAGGAGCTCTCAAACAGCCCAGTGTGATGTTGGAGGAACCACAGCAGATGGACCCCTCCCTCTCATCTCCCTATTGCAGCAAACAGCGGAGCCCTGGTGACTGGGAGGAATAGTCGCCAGAGTGGTCAAACATTTATTTTAGCACAAAGAGAATTAGGAATTTTGGCTGTACCTTTGTGTCATACCAGTAGCAGAGAGAGGTTGGGACATTACTGAACTTTATAGAGAGGGAAAAAAACAAGGCACTCAAACAAAAATGGAACTTCAATTTATCAAATCAAAAGCAAAACTTCCACTTTGAGTCTTTTAAACGTTAACAGTTAAAAGTCGGCTAGACACCAAACAAGTGGACGTCCTCAAAGCAGCTGGCCGTGGACACGTCAACAAAGTGGAGGTCCTTGCTGCTGGTTGCTACGGCGAAGTTGTGGACACTGAGCATGTAGACAGAATCAGTGGTCCAGCCCCTGAACCTCCTTCTGTTAACCCCTTCCTCTGCAGGGTCTCCAGCAAGCTGGGGACATACATAAGTGTGTGTGTGTGTGTCTGCTACCTCATTCACACATTATCCCACTCACCTTCATAGTCTAGAGGACATGTAGTCGGTGGTTCCACAGAGTGAGCAGCCCCTCCTTACTGACACTGATGTAGGGGGATGGCCAGATGAGTGGCCAGTGTCTAGTAGAGCGCCTCTAGGTGTTGTCTCTCTCTCTGCACTTCTGTAGCAGGTAGCTACACAGCTCCTTCCACTCCACATAGCCATCACATGACACGTCAATCTATAAGAACAGCAGGACATTGGTGTAAACGAGAATTAGTTCTCAATAGACTTACTTCATGTAATTGGGTAAATAAACTAACAGCAAACAGTTAAAATATACATAACAAAGGGTTATAGTTCACGTACCTCATTAAAGACCCTTTCCATCCATCCACTCTGGCTGTCTGGACCAATCACAGAACTCAGAGCATTCTGGAGCTCTTCCAGACTCATCCCTCCTTCTCCTCCTCCCTCTCTCCATGCACCTCTCCAACTCCACCGGGACCCCTGTCCGAGGGTGTGCGATGGGTAAATGCATCCCTCAGCAACAGCAAGTGTTCAAGTCTGAGTTCCTCCTGAGGACAGACATTCTGGCCTACATCACTGTAAATGGGACATGTTTCCTGTCAAATTGCAGTAGACACTTTAGATACTTATGAAACAGTCAATTATAGATAGGCAGAAGGTGTATATTGGATAGATATAAATTCCATAAATACTGTAGTGGCCATTATTGACAGTACTACTGCGTGATATGATTGGCTTACAGAATATGAACATGTAGCACTCCCCTGTGGCAGCAGTAAGACTGCACACATTGTGACCAATTTCAAAGACTACGGTAACTGGATCCAGATGACTAGCCAATTTGATGTGGTAGGCCTCCTTGAAATTACTGTGTGAAATGCTCTAAAAAGCGTTGTTGTATTGAGGTTGAAACGCTCAAGTTTCCTTGTATTGTATGTATTTCAGGGGTACTTGAAGAGAGACTTGAGGGTGTGAGGGAGACTGCTAGGCATAGGGGCGCCCCTAAACCCCCGTCTCGTGTGTCGCCAACCTTGATGAGGACAAGGCTTGTTGGTCCCGTTGCCATGGGAAACCACGGGACAATCAGTCACGTCTCCACATTCTCCTCTCTCTTCCTGGTTCATCGAGGCACGCATGAGTGCTCCTTTTAGATCAGGGTCAGTTCTCGCAATCAACCCACCAGCAGGGATATGCAGTCAATGAGACAAGAAATTGTTTTTACTCCAAAAGTGTTTGGAATTAGAACTAAGATGTTAATTTGCTCTACTCAGAGAGCTAGGTTTGAGAGATTTCATCTCTTTTCAAAAACATTTTGATATCTTGATTTTCTGTAGAATGAAATCACAGGATTCACGCAGACAAAACTAAACTAGAATAGAAGAGATGACAGGTATCTAAACACAATGCTAAACATATAAAATATGTATATAGACAAGAAAGCATAGACAGCATTTATAACTTCAACACTGACCTAAATTAAAAATAGATAGCCTAACAAAGAACCAATTATAATGCAGTATAAAGTGCATTTTCCTTCTTCGTATTGTTCTTAAAACATAAAAAACTTACCAAGAGCTGCTGCTGGGGGTTTCTCTCTCATAGACCTCGCATAGATCACTGCTGTCTTTAAGGTCATCCATTCCTATACACCTAATCTTTCTGTCTGTCCTTCAAACGAGAGCTAAATTGATTATGTGCTGCTAAACAAAGTGAAATTCCACTCTGAACCAAGGTCTAAAAACAACCTCAGTCATACATTTACATTTCCCCTCTGGAATCTGCCTTAGATGGGCTCCTCGTGACCTTGTGGCCCAAGTTCCTCTGTTTGTGTGTCAGAGTGAAGGATGCTGAAACACAAACTGACCTCAGTTCCTCACAACAGCCTAAACCCAATCTGAGACCTCTCTCTTTCCTCCTCTGGGCTTAAATAAGAGTCTGTCTCTCTCTCTCCCTCTGTATTTTAGGACAACTCCAATTTCAAGTCAAACAAAGCTGCTTATTCTCAGACAGGTGTGGAATGCTCAGGTCCATAGATCAATATGAAATCTGTCACAGTAGTTTGACCACATGGAGAGAAAGTCAATACTTCCTCAGTGGAGGACCAAGGAGATGAGACTATTCATCTGCATGGGCACAGGGGTGTCAAGACAAGTAATCCTCTAGAAGTTAATGATTTGAAGGGTAAGGAAAGAAGTCTCTCAGTCTGTAGCCTACCGATCCATAAAGCTTTCCAAATCAAATCAAATGAAATTTGATTGGTCACATGCACGTGTTTAGCAGATGTTATTGCGGGTGTAGTGAATGCTTGTGCTTCGAGCTCCGACAGCGCAGTAATATCTAACAAGTAATATCTAACAATTTCACAACATATACCCAATGCACACAAATCTAAGTAAGGAATGGAATTAAGAATATATACATACAGTACCAGTCAAAAGTTTGGACACACCTACTCATTCTTTATTTTTTGTACTATGTTCTACATTGTAGAATAATAGTGAAGACATCAAAACTATGAAATAACACATATGGAATCATGTAGTAACCAAAAAAGTGTTAAACAAATCAAAATATATTTTATATTTGAGATTCTTCAAATAGCCACCCTTTGCCTTGATGACAGCTTTGCACACTCTTGGCATTCTCTCAACCAGCTTCGCCTGGAATGCTTTTCCAACAGTTTTGAAGGAGTTCCCACATATGCTGAGCTCTTGTTGGCTGCTTTTCCTTCACTCTGCCGTCCGACTCATCCCAAACCATCTCAATTGGGTTGAGGTTGGGGGATTGTGGAGGCCAGGTCATCTAATGCAGCACTCTCCTTCTTGGTAAAATAGCCCTTACACAGCCTGGAGGTGTGTTGGGTCATTGTCCTGTTGAAAAACAAATGATAGTCCCACTATGCCCAAACCAGATGGGATGGCGTATCGCTGCAGAATGCTGTAGTAGCCATGCTGGTTAAGTGTGCCTTGAATTCTAAATAAATCACAGACAGTGTCACCAGCAAAGCACCCCCACACCGTAACACCTCCTCTTCCATGCTTTATGGTGGGAACTACACATGCGGAGATCATCTGTTCACCCACACCGCGTCTCACAAAGCCACAGCGGTTTGAACCAAAAATCTCAAATTTGGACTCATCAGACCAAAGGACACATTTCCACCAGTCTAATGTCTATTGCTCGTGTTTCTTGTCCCAAGCAGGTCTCTTCTTCTTATTTGTGTCCTTTAGTAGTGGTTTCTTTGCAGCATTTCGACCATGAAGGCCTGATTCACACAGTCCCTTCTGAACAGTTGATGTTGAGATGTGTCTGTTACTTGAACTCTATGAAGCATTTATTTGGGCTGCAATTTCTGAGGCTAGTAACTCTAATGAACTTATCCTCTGCAGCAGAGGTAACTCTGGGTCTTCCATTCCTGTGGCAGTCCTCATGAGAGCCAGTTTCATCATAGCGCTTGATGGTTTTTGAAACTGAACTTGAAGAAACAAAAACCTTGTCACAAAAGAACTGATTGGCTCAAATGCATTAAGAAGGAAATACATTCCACAAATTAACTTTTAAGAAGGCACACCTGTTAATTGAAATGCATTCCAGGTGACTACCTTGTGAAGCTGGTTGAGAGAATGCCAAGAGTGTGCAAAGCTGTCATCAAAGCAAAGGGTGGCTATTTGAAGAATCTCATATATAGAATATATTTTGATTTGTTTAACACTTTTTTGGTTACTACATGAATCCAAATGTGATTCCACTGCACACTGCACACTGCCCTATCCCATCTGGACAAGAGGAATACCTATGTAAGAATGCTGTTCATTGACTATAGCTCAGCATTCAACACCATAGTACCCTCCAAGCTCATCATTAAGCTTGAGGACCTGGGTCTGAACCCCGCCCTGTGCAACTGGGTCCTGGAATACCTGATGGGCCACCCCCAAGTGGTGAAGGTAGGAAACAACATCTCCACTTCGCTGATCCTCAACACTGGGGCCCCACAAGGGTGCGTGCTCAGCCCCCTCCTGCACGACTCCAACTCAATCATCAAGTTTGCAGACGACACAACAGTAGTAGGCTTGATTACCAACAATGACAAGACCACCTACAGGGAGGAGGTGAGGGCTCTGGGAGTGTGGTGCCAGGAAAATAACCTCTCACTCAACATCAACAAAACAAAGGAGATGATCGTGGACTTCAGGAAACAGCAGAGGGTACACCCCACTATCCACATCGACGGGACCGCAGTGGAGGAGGTGGAAAGCTTCAAGTTCCTTGGCGTACACATCACCGACAAACTGAAATGGTCCACCCACGCAGACAGTGTGGTGAAGAAGGCGCAACTGAGCCTCTTCAACCTCAGGAGGCTGAAGAAATGTGGCTTAGCACCAAAACCCTCACAAACTTTTACAGATGCACAATTGAGAGCATCCTATCGGGCTGTATCACCGCCTGGTACGGCAACTTCACCGCCCGCAACCGCAGGGCTCTCCAGAGGGTGGTGCGGTCTGCCGAACGCATTACCGGGGGCAAACTACCTGCCCTCCAAGACACATACAGCACCCGATGTCACAGGAAGGCCAAAAAGATCATCAAGGACATCAACATTTACATTACATTTACGTCATTTAGCAGACGCTCTTATCCAGAGCGACTTACAAATAGGTGCATTCACCTTATAGCCAGTGGGATAACCACTTTACCGTTTTTTGAAATTGTTAAAAAAAAATTATTATTATTATTTATTTATTTTTTTTGGGGGGGGGGTGGGTTGGAGTAAGGGGGGGGGGGGGGGGGGGGGGGGTAGAAGGATTACTTTATCCTATCCCAGGTATTCCTTAAAGAGGTGGGGTTTCAAATGTCTCCGGAAGGTGGTGAGTGACTCCGCTGTCCTGGCGTCGTGAGGGAGCTTGTTCCACCATTGGGGTGCCAGAGCAGCGAACAGTTTTGACTGGGCTGAGCGGGAACTATGCTTCCGCAAGAGGTAGGGGAGCCAGCAGGCCAGAGGTGGATGAACGCAGTGCCCTCGTTTGGGTGTAGGGACTGATCAGAGCCTGAAGGTACGGAGGTGCCGTTCCCCTCACAGCTCCGTGGCAAGCACCATGGCTTGTAGCAGATGCGAGCTTCAACTGGAAGCCAGTGGAGTGTGCAGAGGAGCAGGGTGACGTGAGAGAACTTGGGAAGGTTGAACACCAGACGGGCTGCGGCATTCTGGATGAGTTGTAGGGGTTTAATGGCACAGGCAGGGAGCCCAGCCAACAGCGAGTTGCAGTAATCCAGACGGGAGATGACAAGTGCCTGGATTAGGACCTGTGCCGCTTCCTGTGTAAGGCAGGGTCGTACTCTCAGAATGTTGTAGAGCATGAACCTACAGGATCGGGTCACCGCCTTGATGTTAGCGGAGAACGACAGGGTGTTGTCCAGGGTCACGCCAA